TAATGAAAAAGTAATAATTAAGAAAAATGGTCTGTAAAAGTCAGAAAATTGAAAATATTACAATACCATCATGAAAGTCACTTAAAATGCGCCGTTTGACCCTTAAACCTGAATAAAACTCAGTTCCCTGCTATCGATTACATGTCTCAAACTTGAAAAATAAAAAGTCCTTTCCCCGTAAAAAACAAGAGGTTTTCCAGAAAATCCCACTACACCCCCTGAAGGTCGAATAAAAAGGTTTCTACACTATATTCATACAAGCTCCATATGCGGCTCTTGAATGCAAAAACCGCATCTCGATAGCTACTTACGTTGCCGAGCTATTCGATTTCGATTTCGAATGAGCTATACGCAATTCAAGCAATCCAGATTCTAATTAAAACTTAAACTTAATTAACTAATAATCTGAGAATGCTTACCGGTTCATCGAAAGGACTTAAGGATATATGTAGTCAGGTGGCCTTTTTAATCTCAGAAAGTTTGAAGGTACATATAGGGGATATGGTCGTTAGAAAGGTTTTTTGATAAATTGTAGACTCGTCGTCGAAATTTTCATTCAATTTAGTATTTTGTCATATTAAAGAAGACTGCGTGTATCAGACCAGAATCACTGCGATGTTTCTGTTGACCGTTAGGTAACATTTGTGTATTGCACCGCAAATATATCGTCATTTTTACTGTCGATTTTATACAGAAACACGAATAACAACCGTACGCGCATAACATGAGACGAAGTAAATGATCGTAATACAGATAAGTATGTCATTGTCTAAAAACTTTGTTATGCTTTTTTGTCTTTATTACAATTAAAATACATTTATAAATATGGAGCAAGCAGTCAAACTTGATTATTTTCATAAAGTTTTGATTTTCATTGCACAGAAAATAGTGTGATCATTGTTCTAATCGGCAATGTAGATGACTTGATGCTTTTCAAGTAAATCAATATCTTTTTCTAATAATTGCATTTCATGTTCTAAACGTTCTTTTCGTTGACGTTTTGGTATTGTATCAATAATTACCGATAATGTTTGATATTCATGATGAACATCCTCCCATTGTTTTTTTAATCCTGCAATAATATTAAAAAAAGAATTTAAAGTAATACTCCTTTACGAAAATGTACATTCTAACCATCAATGATCGTATGTCGTTCTTGTTCAGCCATCTCTCTCATTGCACCACGTCGAAAATAATCTGTCACATACGAACTGTACTCATCCTGAGCCTTTTTCATATCTTCTTGACGTCGTTTTATATACACGGGAACTTCTCCGAAATCCTAGAAAATCAAAAACATACTTATATACTCATATACAGAGATGTGTGCCACCGCTGCCGAACATAGGAAAGAATTTTAAGATTAAGCGCCGCCACCGCCGCCGGTAACTGGTATTTGATAGAATCCGAAAAACGGCTCAAGCGCATGTGTTTACGGAATGTCATATTTATCTTTTCCGTTGCTTCCACAATCGTCACTGATTGACAAAAGAGTGAATGGTTTTGGCTAACTGATGTAGACCTTAACCTAATTCGAATCTTATTTTATGTAACCTATGACAAATGGGCTTGGCAGATCACGACAGCTAAAACAACTGTGAAAGTAGCAACAGTCTAGCCACGTCAGCGTCTTCTGTGAGTGTGTTTAGCACAATGCGACTTATATTCAACGTAAGGTGTGTAGAGTTCGGACGCAATAGAGCAGGTAAAATTCCGTTCATAGCAATTATTCTATAATTATAAAAGACTCGGGAACATTTTTTTACTTTGTCTCCCATTGACGGAATGTCCATTTTCTTTTCTCATACGATGAAACTTTTGTATTCAGCACTTGAAAAAATCTGCGGCAAGCTCTGTGAAGAAAAATTTAGCTCTTCATTTCAAGATTCTTCGCTCTCACGCCGGTGAGTGGAAAAATTTGCGCTACCGCTGCTGAAGACAAAATTATGGAATATGGCACTGCGGATGCCGCAAGCGAAAACCAGTTATGGGATGAGGCGCCGCCGATTGGGTAAAATTTAAACGCCGCTGACGAACATTTTTTATCGGCGCACATGTTTGTTCGTACATACTTTTCGACATTAATGGTAGGAAAATAGCTTCTAAATGTCTCAGCATATGACTGAAATGCCTGTTGCGCAAACTAGAGCTAGATGTTGGTTACTGAGTGAGTTATATTGTTATTACTATAGAAACTTCTTTCACATACTTTTTTCTTCAAATACTTTGGTAATAAACCGCTTGGATCCACTGGAAAACTGTCACCAAATCGATCATCAACAAGATTTCGTTCGGGTTTTTTTGGTACAGCCATAACAGCGTCTAAAGCGTTTGACTGAATAAAATTTTTTTCTGTCCTCACACCCATTTTTGGTGCGTCATTTTTAGCTGGTACGGCTGGTTTTCTCTTTTCTCTAGGTTCTCTTGTTGTTGTATCTTTCACTAAAAGAAACGAATATGATTATGATCACATCTTGTGAATAGTCAATTTCGGTTACCTTCCGGTATTTTTTTCTCTTTTTCATGTTTTTTCAAAAACTTTTCAGGATTTGGTAGAGGTTCTTCGGCATATCCCATGGTCCGATGATCATATTTGCCTTTATTTAGACTTTCAGCCGCATGCTTTTTGAATGTTGATTCATATCTTAAAAGAAAAATTAATTGTTGATATTCTTTCTTCTTTAGCAGTAGTAGGTTATTTATCTCACACTAACCTTTGTGGTTTTGGTGCACGTATTTCTGTACGTGGAACAAGATTATAAACAGACTCTTCTTGATTGGCGGCACCGTTTTGCCCAACAACCATAGTGTCAGCGAAATCTAAAAGTAAGAAAGGATTTCTTCTGTTGTTCACGGTAGTACAAAAGTCTTCAATTCGTAAACTATTCGAGCAGTAGATTTTTATCATTACTGCCATAAAATCGACTTCTCATCGCAGAATTGCACGATTTTAGTCTAAATGACGTTCTGCAACCTTCAGTTCACGTTCAATACTAAAAAAATTGACTGAATGCCTATCGATATGGCGAGAAGGTACAAATGAGCAGCTAGAACTGAATATTAGTGGTTTTATAGTGATAAATAATAGATGTTATTGACGGCAACCTTAGCAAGACTGTTTTGCTCAATCTTGCGACACTATCTTTTCTTGCGCTTCTTAACGTATTAGCCAAGATGTTTTCTATTTTCTTATTTCTTGCAAACTGCAGTTGAGAAGAAGTTATACTAAAGAACAGTTAGGGAGTCTGACTCATTTATGATATGAAACATATACCTTTTAGTTAGATATTGAATATTTGAATAATACAAAAAAAAAAATTTCAATACCGTATCTCAATGCGAATCTTCGATGTAAACACAGACATATTTAAAAACACTCACAGAATATTGCTAGGTAACGAACAATACTGAAGTTGATTTTATTAAGTGTAATTGTGCTTGAAAATTTTGAATCTAATGCTGTCACATGACGTAAAAGTATTTCTAGAACGAATTTTCAACTAGAATTGATCTATTGGAAAAGTAACACCACTCGACACTTCTGCTTACAGTAGCGCTCCTTTATAGCGTCATCATTAGTGAAAAACAACTTAAACGAATAATTGAGGACAAATACATAGGTTAATTAATAACGTAATCTGGAAATTGCTAAAGACTTTGCAATACTAATATTTTCTTCTTTTTGATACGGGCATACAGTTCACCCTCTCTTTCGTTGATATCAACTGCTTAATTCGTAGTGTACAGGGTACGTAAAAATGTTTTTCCAGGGGGGTAACGCTATAATTACGAATAGGGTAAGTAATGAATTTTATACCAGATGAAAGCCCGTCGAAAACGGGATTTATTGATGCTAAATAGTAAGTTTTATCAAAGCA